CTAAGTAAAATGCCATTCCCAGGGCACCCCTTTACTATTGGCACTAAATGACTACAGGCTCTGACCTATTGGCTTCACCTTTTTCTACTAAAGAGATACTATGCTCATACCCTGGTTTAATTGTTTAGGACTTCTGCGTTACAAGCAACTTGTAAAGCAGTGGTTTACAATCTTGGTAAAACAGGGGGTTAGAATTTCAATGGCATTGTTCCCATAGAAACAATGTTAGAAGTGGTGGGTTGGTGCCAACACAACTCATAGAAGTATATTTAAATTATGATAAAACTGCAATACCATTTACTATATTACAGAAAATATAGTAAAAAGCAATATTTTTATAATTCTTATGATTAACAATTCAGAGCAAACAGAAAAGCAATCTATTCCAAAGTAAAGTTTCAGATTTCTGTTATCTTGAATGTTGATAGTTAAAGAAAAGCAGTTTTAACAAGTATTCATTTAACAAGAATATCCTGGTTTCCATCAGATTGACAGCCTGCCACCAAGAAGCCACAGAAGCCTGCAGGAGTTGGGGGAATGACAAGAAAACAGAATGGGAAGCCTACAGATATGCCCTAAACACTAAAGAAATTGAGATGACTTCTAATCCTGTAAAATGAAGAAAGGAATATCTTCCCAGAAAGGAGATAGAAACATGTTGAGGTTATTCTGATGAGAATTGGAGCACTCTCGGGGACTAATTATTTCTCATTTCACTTGAGAAAGCATAGCTTCCCTTTTTGCTTAGTACAGATATTTCACTAGCATTGCTCATGCTCCTCAGTCATGACAAAGGTTGTACTTAGCTATGAATGAAAGGGGGGCGGGAAGGGCAAAAGAAGAAAAGGTAACTGAGGAAGAACTAAAAAGAAGGCAGGATCACCCAGCTCAGATCCCATGTATTTGTGATCTCTTCAGGAACCCAGGTCTTTCATTCATTTATTGCTTAATCTTCCTGAGCACAGTGTGCAGCATAAGTTAGTATTCAGCAAATGTTTATTTGCTTAAGAGACACAAGATTCCACAGTGAGGTACTACTCCACACCCACAAGGATGGCTATAAACAAAATAACAAGTGTGAGTAAAAGGGGATATGGAAAACGTGGGGCCTCATACACTGCTGGTGGGAATGTAAAGTGGTGTAGGCTCTTTGGAAATAGTTTGTCGCTTCTTCAAAATGTTAAACATAGAGTTACCAGATGACCCTCCAATTTCACTCCTATATATATATCCCCCAAAAATAAAAATAGAAATGTGTACCTCAATGCTCTTAGTAGCATTATTTAAAATAGCCAAAAAGTGGACACAACCCAAATGTCCATTAACTAATGAATGGATAAATAAAATTTGGTTTTTCCATACAACATAATATAATTAGACTATTTTAAAAAATGAAGTACTGATACATGCTACCACTTAAATGAAACTTGAAAATGTTAAGTCAAAGAAGCAAGTTACAAAAGATCACATATGGCATGATTTCATTTATATGAAATATCCAGAATAGGAAAATCTTTAGAGACAGAAAGTAGATTACTGTTTGCCTAGAGCTGGGGTTTGGGGGAAATGGAAAATGATTGTTAATGAGTACAGGGTTTCTTTGGGGGATAAATGAAGTGTTCTAAACTTAATCATGGTGATAGTTATATGTCTCTGTGACTATACTATAAACCATCAAACTCTACAATTTAAATGGTAAACCATAGGGTATGTGAATTATAGTTTAATAAACTTTTTAAAAAGTCACAAGGTTACTATACCTAAGAAATTCCTTTATCTATTTATTCAACAAATATTTTAAGTCCCTACTCTGTGCCAAGTATGTTAAAGGCCTATACAAAATGGTAAACACAACAAAATTGCTAGCTGCTCTCAGGGCATTTATACTTTAGCGATATGGGGTACAGACAATCAGTAAAAACTCAAGGAACTAGATAGACACAGTGAATTTAACACAGACTCTTTGGTATGCACCATCTCCCAAATTCAAGTAAAGTGACTGCCAAAGACTTAAGAGGTCTGAAAAGAAGTGACAAAGAGCACAAAACAGAAAATAGCCCCAGATAAGGCATGGCAACAAAAATTTTAACTATGGAAAACTGATGGACAAATGGCTGATTTAGAAGAGCTGAGAAATATGAAACCCAATTGCTTACAGTATGAAAAGTAATAAGAAGCAAGTTTCAAAGCCCCAGAAAGTCTTGGGATGGAAACACAGGGCAACTCTGAAGGTTGAGCTTCAGGGGATACTGAAAACAGGAGCTGGTTTGAAAGTTGAGGGAGCAGTAAGACAGCCATCTCTAGATTTCACTCCCCAGGCTTCCACCTCTCCTCCTCTGGCCAGAAAACAGGGGTGTAGTTCCACAGAGGTTGAAGCAGAGAGAGTTTGGACTCAGGGACAAAATCTGGAACAGGGCAGAGGCACTATATTGAAAATGGTGTTGAGTAAAAGTATTCACACTGAACAGTGAGGTCCCAGTCTCTTCCTCTGATCAGCACCCAGGACCTTGGCAGTTGGCCTCAAACATCCCAGGCAAAGGTTGGATGATTCCTTTCTGAGGAAAATGATTCCTCCAATAGAAAAGAACGACAGATGCTGTCATTAGTGAATGTCCCAATAAAATTGTAGGTAATCTATCAGTTAGCAAACTCTGCCCAAACAAGAATAAGTGCCAATTTGATTTTTAGTGCCTCACCCCTAAAGTAATGATACAGAAATCTTAGACATGAATAGACACTCAAAGATTGTAAGATACTTAAGTAAATTGTCTATCATAAAAGACAGAAATCAAACAAGAAACAGGGAAAAAACTGTAAGAAGTTTAAATAATTCAGGGGACAGAAAAAAAAACTAAAAAAAGAAATCCATAATAAATAGCTTCAGAGAAATAAGAGAAGATACTGCATCCGTTAATAAAACAAATCACTACAGAAAAACATTCAGGGAATAAGAAAGTGTTCTTCAGAAATTGCATATATGAAAGCTAAAATGTTAAAATATCAAAGATTTGAAGACAACATTAGGAAACTTTCTCCCTGAAAGAAAAACAAAAGATGAGAGACGGAAAACAGCTGATAAAAGATTGAGAAATTAGTGAATCAATCTAGGACTAACAGCAGTTGTAGACAGAGCAAGCAGAGAAAATGGCAGAAGGAAAAGTATCTGATAAATAAGTTACATAAAAGATATTCTAAGAACTGAACAACATAAATTACCGCATTGAAAAGGTCCGGCAAATGTGTTATGCAATTAGCAGAAAATACTTCCATTAAGGCACATATGATGAAGTTTCAGAACATAAGGGAAGAAGAGGAGTAACTTATAAAGGGTCAGGAATCCAGATGGCAGAATTTCAACAGCCATACTGGAACTCAGTAGCTTCAAAGTTCTGAGGGGCAGTACATCCAATCTAGAATTTTATAACTAACTAAAATATTAAGAATGAAAGTAGATTACAGACATGTAACATCACAAGATAAATAATAAATCGTGCCTTTCATACACTGTTCTTAAGAAGATATTAAAATGTGCTTCACCGAAATGAAGACATAAACAATAAAGATGGCAATGGAATTTAGAAAACAAAAATTCCGGCCGGGCGCAGTGGCTCAAGCCTGTAATCCCAGCACTTTGGGAGGCCGAGGCGGGTGGATCACGAGGTCAAGAGATCGAGACCATCCTGGTCAACATGGTGAAACCCCGTCTCTACTAAAACTACAAAAAATTAGCTGGGCATGGTGGCACGTGTCTGTAATCCCAGCTAGTCAGGAGGCTGAGGCAGGAGAATTGCCTGAACCCAGGAGGTGGAGGTTGCAGTAAGCCGAGATCGCGCCATTGCACTCCAGCCTGGGTAACAAGAGCGAAACTCCGTCTCAAAAAAAAAAAAAAAAAAAAAAATTCCAACATAGGAAAGAAGGAAAGGAAATGTCCAGAATGATAGGAAAGGGTCCCAGAACCACAGCTGACCCACAACACAAACTGGACAGGAAAAGAGAAGACTCCAGCATGGAGAGTTCCAAGCTGGGGAAAGACAAAATGAGTTAAGAGAGTGCCTGATGTATTTGCCTATTCTGGGAGGACATTTGTACATTTTGCTTTGTTTTGTTTTCTTTTCCCAGACATTTAGAGGCTAAAGTCGGGGATAAATCAAATTTTAAAAAACCGAAGTGCATGGTTTTATAAGAAAGGGAATCTGGTCTTCACATTTTGAAGATCAGTTATAAAACAATATTTACAAAATCATCATGTAAACACTGATTACTGATTTACACAAAAATTTTCATTCAACTACACTGGAAGGATAGTGACAGATAAGATGTGGGGTGGGGGAAATAGTAGAAAGCTAAGCCTTTGTCTTCCATAATAGGACGCCAATAAATATGTCTAAAACTGAAAAAATTCAGAAGCAAAAAAAAATCATATTAATTAGAATTTTGGAAGAAAATACAAGAAATCTAAGTATATGCCTCCAAGGAAAAGGTATAAGGAAGAATGGAGGAGAGGACTACCATTTTTTGACCTAGATCTTGTACAGCTATTCAGCTTTTTAAACTATGCATGCATACTTACTAAAAAGTAAATGAAGAAAACAAAAGACAAAAGTTCCAAATTGGAATGTAGAAAAGGAAATAAACAAGATGGTCTGAAGGTAAGTAGGAATGAATAATCCTCTGTTAAATAAGATGGTCAAGGAAGAACCCCAAAGGGGTAATGTTTGAGCTGAGACAGGAAAGATGAAAGGATTCAACCATGGCGCAGCCTGGGGGAAGAGTTCCAGGAGGCTGCAATGCAAGCTCAGAGGTGCCGAGACTGGAATGCACTCAGAGTGTTTGAGAGCTGAAAGGAGCTCAGCACAGCTGGGGCTTAGAGAGGAGGGGCAAGTGGTAAGGAATGAAGAGGAAGAGGTAGGCAGAAGCCACAGCATAGAGGAGCTCAGTAGCCAAGGGGAGCAGTTTCTATTTTGTTAAAAATGTGTTGGCAAGTCACTAAAAGTTTTCAGGCAAGTGGAGTGAATTGAATTAAAATTGAGACAATTGCTCTGGCTGCTCTGCATAGAACGGAAAATGGTGCAAGAGCGTTGAAGTTGGTAGAACAATTAGATGCTGTTACCCTAATTCTAACAGGTGAAGATGCCACTTGGACAGTAAAGACCAAAAAAATGGGGTTAGATTTGAGATATGTTTTGAAATTAGAACCAATGGGACTTGCTGAATGATTGACTGTAGGGCATGGGGACAGAGAAAAGTGAAAAATGACCATTAGCTATTTTAGTGGAGCACTTACGTGGAAGATATGGTGGGGTGGAGGACGAAAGATTTAGGGATGGAGGCAAGACATTAGGAATCAAGTATTCCATTTTGGATGGGTTAAGTCTAATATGCCTGTAAGATATCCAAGTGTCCAGGATGGGTACCAAGCAGATACTCTTTATATAAGTTTGGAATAGAGATAAGATCTGGGAGTCATCAGCACATATATGGTGTTTAAAGCCATGAAACTAGAAGAAGACAACCAAGATCCAAGCCCTGAAGCATTAAGAGGTGAACCACAGGTCTTTTACTGGACACTGGATAACAGAGGCTTGCTCACAGTAAGCAATTATTTACTGAATGGAATCAGTAACACATATTAGACCCAACGCTTAAAATAGATTCATAGCTGTCCAAAGCTACTCAAGGAATTTTAGAACAGAAGGCCCTGGGATGAGATATAAAGGGGTAGTCAGCAAGGAAATGGCCATTTGCTTAAGAATGTAGAAGATATTTAAACATTAGATTTTCACAGAGAATTCCTGTGAAAGAGAATGAAAAGAGAACATTATTCTTTAATTGATATTTTATTATACAGAAAGGAAAACTGCAATGCTATGTGGTCTTTGGAAATTATTTAATCTTTTTAATCTTGGATTTCCTCATCTGTAAAGTGGGAATAATAACAATATTTACCTCAGTTCATAAGGAATACAAGTACATGTAATGGGCGTAACCCAATAGCTGGCCCACAGTGAGCACTCAGTAAATATTGCCTACCACAATAATTATTGTCATCATTATCATTTCTCATGGACAACACAAAATGCTTTATGGGCATCTGAAAATATTTATTCTCAATTTATTGGAGAAGTATATCAGTTGTATGAAAACTGATTATTGGATCATTCCAGTCCTGTATAGCCCACTTCTTTCTAATTTATTTAATCTGTTAACTTCTGAACAAGATGTATTGAAGTGTTCTAATATGAATCTTCTCATATTTCTAATAGCAAATAGCTTTTGTTATTAGAAATATTTGCTGATATTGTCTTAAAGTCTTCTCTTGGACTTTAATTTTGCTTGTGAAATATGTCATTCTACAAAAGTTTTAAATCATTCCTTCAGGCGTCTACTCTCCATGCCATGCTACAAAAGGCCTTCTTCATTCAATATAAGAAAAGTGTTCTCCTTCCTACTAGCATCTTTCACTATTTGTGTATCCATGACACAGTAGGTGAGTTAAAGATTTGAACAGACAACAAGGACAATAAGTTGGAGCATTTATAGAATTCACCTCATTTGGGGTGGGTGCAGTGGCTCAAATCTGTAATCCCAACACTGGGAGGCCAAGGCAGGAGGATCACTTAAGACCAAGAGTTCAAAACTAGCCTGCGCAACAGAACAAGACCATCTCTACAAAAAAAAATAATAATAATAACTCAGCGTGATGGAAAGCACCTGTAGTCCTAGATACCTGGGAGGCTGAGGCAGGAGGATTGCTTGAGCTCAGCAGTTTGAGGCTGCAGTGAACCATGATTGTACCACTGTGCTTCAGCCTAAGCAACAGAGTAAGACCTTACCTCAAACAAACAAACAAAGAATTCATTTCATCTGTTCTCTGTCTTTCTGGGATCCCAGAGCTTTGCTGTCTGAGGTCCAGAGTCTTGAAAACTGTCCCACATGTTTCTAACACATTTAATATAAAAGAGAATATGCCAAATATATTTTATAGAGTAATTTCATTTTTATACAAAATGCCCATGCATAAATACATTCATACTAATAAATGTGCACATATATTTCCAAGTGCATCGAAAATAAACTGGAATGATTTACACTAAATTATTAACACTCCTCTTGAGTGAAGGAATAAAAGTGAAGCAGGGATCACTTTTTATTTTATTTCAGATATCCCTTCAATGTGTTAATTTTCTATAGTGTTCATATATTACCTTTATAGGTTATTGCAAAAATAATAAAAGTGTTGATAAGAATGTCTTGAATCATTTTCCCTGACTACCCTTCTTCAACATAAGCTGTGTTGAAGCAGAGGTGTTTGTCTGTGACTGACTGGCTCACATGTCAGTTCAAATGACACTGTTTCCTTCACATTGTGATATCTAATTAAGGCTTTCTAGACTTTATCTGTCTCCCATGTTTTGAAAAGCTCATCATTTAATTCAAATAATATAAGGATGAGGACAATTTAAATCAACAAATATATGCTTTTAAATTCAGTTTGAGGAAAATAACTCTATCAACCATAATTTGAAATGTAGCTATGGATATTACCATCTCCATTGAAACTTTCTTGCTGGTAGAAGAGATGTTTTATCTCCAGAGAAAATCGAGAGGCTGTCAAGCAATTCCACTACATGGTACAACCCATCAGGAAAGTCTGATTTCTTGTTTTGAATACTGTATTTAAATTTGATGGCAGGTTTTGCATTGTAAATTGAGGGAAAAAATTCTTGTGCAACCAAACGTCAATCGCATTTCCAGAGCTAGAGCCCAAAATGTAAATTCCACTACGTATTTTAAATGCCCTTTGAATAAAAAAGTTTAGCAAAAGCAGTTGGTCTAGATGTAAAGAAATGCTTCTTAATGTGTCTCCAGGTGGGATGTTAATCCCTCAAGTATTTTTAACCTAGGGCAGGTCACCACATAAAATAATATATCAAGCTTTTTCTTTCTATACTCAGAGAGGTGGCATGGATGCTCTTTGGAGGGCCCATTGAACTTTAGACTTTATTAAATCTATCATATATTTTGTATTCACTCGCACACACACACACACACACACACACACACTTATACACATACACATATTTACTCCTGTGTTACTCAGGGTTCTCCAGAGAAACAAACCAGTGGAACATATAGAGATATATATGAGAAGATTTACTATAGGAATTGGCTCACGTGGTGATGGAGAACAAGAAGTCCCAAGATATGCCACCTGCAAGCTGAAGGATCATGAAGCCAGTGATGTAATTCAGTCCCATGTCTGCAGGTTGAGAATAAGGGGAATTATGTGCAAGTCCTGATCTGAGTCCAAAGGCTCAAGAACAAAGAACACTGCTGTCCAAGGGCAGGAGAAGATGGATGTCCCAGCTCAAGCAGAAAGAGAAATTGCCCTTTCTCTGCCTTTTTGCTCTATGTGGGCCCTAGAGAGACTGGATGATACCCACCCACATTGGGGAGGCCACATGAGTTACTCAGTCCACCAACACAAATGCTACTCTCTTCCAGAAACACCTTTACAAACATACCCAGAATTAATGTTTTACTAGCTGTGTGGACATCCCTTAGTCCTATCAAGTTGACACATAAGATTAATTATTATAATTCCTGACTTTTAACCTTCACATTACAGTAAGAAGTCCTAGCCAGAGCAATCAATCAAGAGAAAGAAATAAAAGGCACCCAAATAGAAAAAGAGGAAGTAAAACTATCTCTCTTCATAGAAAATATGTTACTATTCCTAGAAAACTCCATAGTCTCTGCCCAAAGGCTCCTATATCTGATAAAGAATTTCAAAGTTTCAAGATACAAAATCAACGTAAAAAAAAAAAAAAAAAAAAAAGTAGCATTTCTCTACACCAACAACGTCCAAGCTGAGAGCCAAATGAAGAATGTAATCTCATTCACAATAGCTACAGAAAGAATAAAATACCTAGGAATATGGCTAACTAGGAAGGTGAAAGATTTCTACAATCAGAATTAGAAAACACTGTGGAAAGAAATCAGAGACAACACATATAAATGGAAAGTCATTCCATGCGCATGGATAGGAAGACTCAATATTGTTAAAATGTTCACATTGCCCAAAACAATTTAGAGATTCAGTGCTATTTCTATCAAACTACCAATGACATTTTCCACAGAATTAGAAAAAAATTCTAAAATTCATTTGGAACCAAAAAAGAGGCTGAATAGCCAAAGCAATTCTAAGCATAAAGAACAAAGCTGGAGGCATGACACTACCTGACTCCAAACTACACTATAAGGCTACTGTAACTAAAACAGCATGGTACTAATATAAAAACATACATAGACCAATAGAAGGGGTTAGAGAACCCAGAAGTGAAGCCACACACCTAAAACCATCTGATCTTTGACAAATCCAACATAAACAAGCAACAGGGAAAGGACTCCCTATTCAATAAAGGTTGCTAGAATAACTAGCTAGCCATATCCAGAAGGTCAAAACTGGACTCCTATCTTTCATCATTTACAAAAATCACCACAAGATGGATTAAAGACTTAAATGTAAAACCTAAAACTATGAAGACTCTAGAAGAAAATCTAGGAAATACCATTCTAGTCATCAGCCCAGGCAGAGATTCTATGACGAAGACTCCAAAAGCAATTGCAATAACAACCAAAAATTGACAAGTGGGACCTAATTAAAATAAAGAGTTTCTATATAGCAAAAGAAACTATCGACATAGTAAACAGACAACCTACAGAATGGGGAAAATACTTACCAACTATGCATCCAACAAAGTTTTCATAACCAGAATCTACAAGAAACTCAAACAAATCAAGCAAAAAAACAAACAACCGCATTAAAAAAAAATGGGAAAAGGGCATGAACAGACACTTCTCAAAAGAAGACACATTCATGATGAACAAACATATAAAAAACTGTTCACTATCACTAATCATTAAGAAAATGCAAATCTAAATCACAATGAGATACTAACTCACACTAGCCGCAATGGCCATTATTAAAAAGTCATTAAATTGCAGATGCTGGCTACCTTGCAGAGAAAAGGGAATATTTATACACTGCTGGTGGGAATATAAATTAGTTCAGCCACTGTGGAAAGCAGTCTGGAGATTTCTCAAAGAACTCAAAATAGAATTACCATTTTACCCAGCAATTCCATTACTGGAGATATACCCAAAGGACTATAAATCACTCTACCATAAAGACATTTGCACATATACATTCATCATAGCACTATTAACAGTAGCAAAGACATGGAGTCAACCTAGATGCCCATCAATGGTGGACTGGATAAAGAAAGTTGCAAGGTCAGGAGATCAAGAACACTGAAATGCTGTCTCTACTAAAAATACAAAAATTAGCTGGGCGTGGTGGCACGTGGCTGTAATCCCAGCTACTCAGGAGGCTGAGGCAGGAGAATCACTTGAACCAGAGAGTCAGAGGTTGTAGTGAGCCAAGATCATACCACTGCACTCCAGCCTGGCAACAGAGTGAGACTCTGTCTAAAAAAAAAAGAAAGTGCATATGCACCATGGAATACTATGCAGCTGCAAGAAAAAAATGAGATCATAACCTTTGCAGCAACTTGGATGGAGATAGATGCCATAATCCTTAGCAAACCAACGTAGGGACAGAAAACCAAATGCCACATGTTTTTACTCATAAGTGGGAGCTAAATATTGAGTACACATAGACACAAAGAAGGGAACAATAGACACTGGGGCCTATTTGGGGGTGGACGGTGGGAGGATGGTGAGGACTGAAAAGCTCCCTATCAGGTATTATGCTGATCACCTGAGTGACAAAAGAATCTGTACATTGAACCCCCACAACATACAATTTACCCATGCAACAAACCTGCACATATACCCTTTGAACCTAAAAGTCACAAACAACAACAAAACCACTATAGATTTGGAGTAGATGCTAAATTTTCAAAAGTACCAGAGCTTTAGCCATCAGGATTGTAGGAGAAAATATAATTTAATACTGAGACTTGATTGACTAACTTTTGTGAAAGCACTTAGAACAGTGCCCAGAACCTGGTAGAAGCCAGGGATGACCATCAAAATATTTCACCATCAATATGGCATAGTCATCTACCAATCACAACACACACCAGCTATGAAACTTTAGTGGGATTATACCAGAGCATACTGCCTAAATTGTTACTAATAAAAGTTCAATAAATGTTTGGAATTTTTTATTTGCCTTTATTCACCGAGTTTGTCAGAGTAAAATCAATATTTATAAGACAGTATCATACTAAATATGTTTTTTAATTGAGTTACAGGTTGGTGCAAAAGTAATTGCAGTTTTGGCCATTAAAGTAACACAATAAATATTTAATTGTACTTATATCTTATTCACTAATCTCGTTGATACTGGAAGACTGCAGAAAGCTATCTCCCAAAAACTTTAAAATAAGAGAAATAAGGTCCCCCTCTGAGAATTAAACTATAAAATCAACTTTTGCTGGGAGAAATTATCTGTAATAGTAGCTGGAGAACTTCCTCAAATTAAGTAATTGGAAGATAACTCAAAACAAAGTTTTATTACGTTAAAGCTGTGGAATATCTAAAGTTCAGGAAAAGAGAGAAATAGAGAAAAATCTCCACATTCAGAACTGCCCCAGAAAAAAAAAAAAAAAAAAAAGGCAGATGCTGACCAGACCAGGGAGCCCAGGCCAGCACACTGGCACACAGGAGTACATCGGCCCATATCACAGCTGCCTTCAGAGGTGGGGAGCCCCTGGAGCAATATCGCTAAGGGATGTTACCCTGAGATTAACTACATTTCTTTCATTTCAACCTACTTATTGATTTGGTACCCAAAAAGAGGGCAGGGGTTGGAGGGTTATTATCTGCTCAGATGGATCTAATCATACAGCTCACTCTGGCTCCTGTGAAGTTCCTTCTTGTTGTAAATTAGTAAATTGACATTCTGGTGCCCCAATCAGCCCCAAGTACATCCCAATTAATAAAAGTCAGACACTCAGGGCCTGATGACCTTCCGGTACTGATTAGAGAGGAAGGTGGTAGAGCTTAGTGCTGAAGACTATAAGGTTTTAAGCCACATAGAGCTAGCTTCAAATGCCAGTTCTGCCTTTCTCTACACCTATGATTTTAACTTCCTTTAGTCTTGTTTTACACATTGATAAAATGTATATACTAGTTCTTCCCATATAGGGTGATTAATGGATTAAAAGTGCTAAAGTTTGTGAAGTGCTGTCATCATTAAGGGAGTCTCTGGGCTTTCAGAGCAGGAAGACACATCCCTGTAACCAGACCCCAACACACTCCCCTGTGCATCCTCACCCACGTAATACGTTTAGCTGTCATCTGCAAATGCCTAAAACTGCACTGAATTAGGTTTACATGGTGTCTCTTTTGATGGGCTCTGAGTTCATATTCATCTCTTTATCCTCAGTGTCTCTCTCAAAATAGGTTTGTTTAGTTCTCCTAAATTGTTTTAAATCCTAGAAAACACCACAGTGCATGCACAATGAAGCTACAGCACATCTGTAGACGTTTTTCTACACATTTAATAACACTTACTCTGCAGCACAGTGATAATTTAGAAATGGAGGGGTGTACACAATGACTGTTAGCCACATTATTAGCATTTGCTTAATTTGATTCTCATAGAAACCTGTGCTGTCTCTTCATTATTGACCCTTTATTTCTAGATTTTTTTAAATGATGTCATAAAAGTTAAGTCAATTACAAATAAATGCAGTCAGATATGACACAAAAGTTCTCAGACACTTCCCATGTGCTTTTGACATCACACCACTACCCACAACATGCATACACACACACACACAAAACAACTGGCTACTAAGAATCTAAAGTTGCCAAAACAAACATGTCAGGAGAGATCAGTTGGCAAGAAAGAAAGAGAAGCATATTTTTAACAAAGCAAGAAAACACATTGAGTCTATATCTTATAAATATTAAGAGCCTATCTTAGGTCAAGGCAGTTGCTAAGGAAACACTTCCTCCTGATTATTCTGTCTATGGGAAGGGAGCTGAATAGTGTAACTCTTGGTCTCTCTGTGCCCCTGTACTCACTTTACCCCTGGAGAGCTGAAGGGATGGATCTGATTGGTAAATGGGGGGAGATTTAACAAGGCATGCTCTGCTCTGCTTCCTCATGGGAACCAAGCTTTTTGAAGGATGCAGTATTCTCTACCACTTTCCCTCAACTACTGTCTTCCAGGTCCATGGCTGCCATGACAGCAAGGGCCAGTCTATCCAATTTGTACGTTCAGTCTTTAACTCTCTTTGGTTCTCACAACAAGCCATATTTTCTAATCTTGCCCTTACTAGTAATTAAAGTGATCATCTGGCCTCCATCCGCCATTCCTTGGTTTGTCTTAACTTATCGGAAACTCAAGCAGGAAAAATGAATATTATTTATTGAACTCAAACACTCCTAAGTATAAATTCTGATATTAGCACTATCACCTTGGACAAATTGGTTATCTACCTGGTAACATGGGAAAAATTAATCTCTCTGGGCCTCAGTGTCAATATCTATAAAGTATACAAAACACCCCTCAGGTTAAACATGAGAATGAAACAAGATTTTCAATAGATAGATTTATATATTGCTATGGTGTAGCTTTCTGTCTCCACCCAAATATCACCTAGATTTGTAGTTCACACAATCCCTATGTGTCATGGGAGGGACCCGGTGGGAGGTAATTTAATCACACAGGCGGTTACCTCATGCTGCTCTCATGAGAGTGAGCAAGTTATCACCAGATCAAATGGTTTTATAAGGTGCTTCCCCATTTTGCTCAGCAATTCCCCTTCCTGCCAACCTGAGAAGGACGTGTTTGCTTTACCTTCCACTGTGATTGTAAGTTTCCTGAGCCCTCCTCAACCATACTGCGCTGTGAGTCAATTAAACCTCTTTGCTTTATAAATTACCCAGTCTTAGGCAGTTCTGTGTAGCAGCGTGCAAACAGACTAATACAATATTATATACTGTACATTATATATTTTATATACTATATTTCGTGTGTGTGTGTGTGTGTGTGTGTGTGTGTGTGTGTCGAGATAGACAGACAGATATATCAAAGGTTCTGAAACTCTCAACCTGAATCAAGCATCAGAATCACCTGGAAGCCTTGCTAAAAAGATTTCTGGGCCCCACTCCTCCCTGCCAACCTCCAGTTTCTGCTTTGGCAGGTAGGGCCTAGAATTTGCTAATACTGCTGAATTAGGAACCACACTTTGAAAACCACTGAGATTATGTGCACACACACACACAGAGAGAGAGAGAGAGAGAGAGAGAGAGAGAGAGATCTTAGTATAGCATCTGTCTCATGGGATATACTCAATAAAATATTTAATAAAATAGTCCATAAAACAACTACTGCTGGTTTTCTTTTGTTGTTTCAAGAAAATAACAGCAGTGGTTCTCAGCCAGTGGAGATTTTGCACACACATACATGCACACACACGTACACACACATGTATACCCACAAGGGCATTTGACATATATTTTTATTGTACCAACTGGAGGGTGGGCAAAGTGCTACTAGCATCTATTGGTCTTATGAGCAGAGGCCAGTGACACTGCTGAACATACTGCAGTGCACAAGACAGCCCCCAACAACAAAAATGGTCTGGCCCAAAATGTCAATAGTGCTGAGATTAAGAAATCCTGCTCGAATGCTTCTCCTAAAACCCTCCATCTATAATTCAAGCATCTATGGCTACCTATTTTCACATACAGCCTCTCGTACCATTTGATAGAGATTTGACCCATTAGAGACTCATTAGGCTAAGCAGAAACACCCTGTGTAATAATCTAAAAGGAAACTTAAATTTGTTTTATCAGATTATTTTCTTATATAAGAAATGTCAGTTCAAGAGGGGTTTTGATAAAGGAGAACAGTTAGTCTGGGAACCACTGGTATGTGGGTTGAGAAATTTTTTAAGAGAATTGAGAGAGTTTTTAAGAGAAATTTGTGAATAAAGACTTACAAATATCCAGGACCATCATAAAATCATCATTTAAATGCAGAAATAAAAACAAATTATGTACAAGTTTCTTGCTCATTAAATTTTCATGCTTGGAATATTTAGAAATGTTAAGATGCTAAGGAAAAATATATTTTTCTCCCTGAAGATTCCTTGAGTTTTTCTACCAGCAAATAAACAAGACACAATTTCAGTGGTCAGCAGTTTTAGGAATATAGAGTTGTTTGTACTTTTTTCCATCTATTTGAGAAAATTAGATGAGCCTTCTAAAATGATTCTTTTGAGTGATTTTTTCTCATTCACAACTTGTTAAGACCTAGGACAGTTTTACTACTTACTCTGTCACAACCTCTCTGAGCCTTTTTTAAATTAATGTAGAACACAAGTTTCAGAAATTGTACATTGACAGTAATGGGCAAATCTCATCTTCATAACTACTATTTTTTCACCTACCAACTTTTCTCAAACTTTGCACCTTAGGGCATCTGAGTTTGATTCCCGGCCTAGATTCAGTATCCACTGAAAATCCAGGAAAGTCCTTGAATCAGGCCACATTAGGTATTAACATGCAGCCTCTTTAGCCACCTGGGAGAGACAATAACCTGACCAGTCAGATTGGACTAAGGCTAGCCCCTAGGTTCTGATTCCCAAGCCTTCAGGAAGCAGTCCCCTGATTGCTGTACCTGGGACATAAAGAACTCAACCAGAGAGAAGAGAAAGTTCAGTGAACAGTCTTGGTCTGTGGCTATTGTTTGCCAGTAACTAAAGAACTGTAACAGTAGAAAAGCACATTCAGGGCATCAGCCAGAGCCTTCCAGGGGAGCCATGCAGCAGAGCTAGGTTCTGAGTGTAGAACCTGGTGCCGGGTGCAGAGTTGGGTGCTGAGTGCAGAGGAACCGTTGACATTTAGGGATGTGGCCATAGAATTCTCTCTGGAGGAGTGGCAATGCCTGGACACTGCACAGCAGAATTTATATAGGAATGTGATGTTAGAGAACTACAGAAACCTGGCCTTCCTGGGCAGACAAGCAACCTCATCAAGCAGCTCCCTGACACCACAGCCAGGTAAATCCACAAAGATGGGGAAAAACCAGCACAAAAAAGATGAAACCATCAAAGACCAGAACACCTCTTCTCCTTCAAGGCATCACAACTCCTCAACAACACAGGATCACAACTTGACCGAGGAGTGCGATGAATTGACAGAAACAGGCTTCAGAAGGTGACAAATAACAAACATTTCTGAGCTAAAGGAACACATTCTAACTTAATGCAAAGCAACCAAAAACCTTGAAAAAAGGTTAGACGAAATGCTAATTGGAATAACCAGCTTAGAGAACGACTTGATGGAGCTGAAAAGCACAGCATAAGAACTACGTGAAGCAAACACAAGTTTTAGTAGCCAGATCGATCAAGGAGAAGAAAGGATATCAGAGATTGAAGATCAACTCAATGAAATAAAAAGAGAAGGCAAGACAAGAGAAAAAAGAGTGAAAAGAAATGAACAAAGCCTCCAAGAAATATGGGATTATGTGAAAAGACCTAATCTACGCTTGATCAGTGTACCTGAATATGATGGGGAGAATGAATCCAAGCCGGAAAACATGTTCCAGGATATTATCCAGGAGAACTTCCCAAGCCTAGCAAGGCAGTCCAAATTTCAAATTCAAGAAATACAGAGAACTCCCCAAAGATATTCCTCAAGAAGAGCAACCCCAAGGCACATAATTCTCAGATTCATCAGGGTTAAAATGAAGGAAAAAGTGCTAAGGGCAGCCAGAGAGAAAGGCCAGGTCACCCACAGAGGGAAGCTAATCAGACTCACAGCAGATCTGTGATCAATATTCAACATCCTTAAAAAAAAGAACTTTTAACCCAGAATCTCATATCCAGCCAAACTAAGCTTTGTAAGTGAGGGAGAAATAAAATCCTTCACGGACAAGCAATTATTGAGAGATTCTGTCACCACCAGACCTGCCCTACAAGAGCTCCTGAAAGAAACACTAAGCATGGAAAGGAAGAAGTACCAGTCACTGCAAAAGGAAACCAGTTGGCAAAGACCAAAAATGTAACGAAGAAAATGAAGTAACTGGGAAAGAAAACCAGTCAGTAACAAAATGGCAGAATCAAATCCACACATAACAATATTAACATTGAATGTAAATGGCCTAAATGCCCCAATCAAAAGACACAGACTGGCAAACTGGATAAAAAATCAGAACCCATCGGTGTGCTGTATTCAGGAAACCCATCTCACGTACAAAGACACACACAGACTCAAAATAAAGGGATAGAAGAAGATTTACCAAGCAAATGGAGAATAAAAAAAAGCAGGGGTTGTAATCCTAGTCTCTGATAAAATGGACTTCAACAAAGATCAAAAGAGACAAAGACGGACGCTACATAATGGTAAAAGGATCAATCCAACAGGAAGAGCTAAGTATCCTAAATACATACACCCCCAACACAGGAGCACCCAGATACATAAAGCAAATTCTTAATGACCTAAAACGAGATTTAGACTCCCACATAATAATAGTGGGAGACTTCAACACTCCACTCTCAATATTAGATCAATGAGACAGAAAATTAACTAGGATATCCAGGACTTGAATATAGAGCTGGACAAAGTGGACCTAATACACATATACAGAACGTTCTACCCCAGATCCACAGAATATCCATTTTTCTCAGCACCACTTTGCACATTCTCTAAAATTGACCACATCATTGGAAGCAAATCACTTCTCAGCAAATGCAAAAGAACAGAAATCATAGCAAACAGTCTATCAGACCACAGCACAGTCAGACCAGGACTCAGGATCAAGAAACACAGAAACCCGCACAACCACTTGAAAACTGAACAACCTGTTTCTGAGTGTCAACTGGAAACTCTGTCTCAAAAAAAAAGAAATACTAGACTTCCATAGAATCAACCCAAATGCCCATCAATGATAGACTGGACAAAGAAAATGTGGTACATGTACACCATGGAATACTACGCAGCCATAAAAAATGAGTTTGTGTCCTTTGTAGGGACTTAGATGAATCTGGAAACCATCATTCTCAGCAAACTAACACAAGAACAGAAAGCCAAACACCGTATGTTCTCACTCATAGGCGGGTGTTGAACAATGAGAACACGTGGACACAGGGAGAAGAGCATCACACACTGCAGGTAGTTGAGGGGGTTAGGGAGAGACAGCGGTGGGTGGGGAGGGTTAACATGGGGAGAAGTGCCAGATACAGTATGCACCTAAAGTAAATAAATTAATTTTTAAAAATACAAAAAAAAAAAAGCACATTCAGTTTCAAATAGTTTCTCATATGCCCCCAGGGAAAATCTGCAGGCTCCCTAATGAGAAATTGGCTGTAATAAATTAGGAGGGGCTCAGATTTTTTTTTAAGCGCTAACAGTACTTAAAAGAGATTCAGTAAAAAGGGAGAGTCAAATGCCTTGGCCCCAAGTCAGACTCCAGGTAGATAGGGGAAGGGCTAACACAGGTGAGAAAAAGAGAGCTATTTCATATCTAAGAAAGGGCCCCATTTTAGATTTTGTATGTGGTCTCCAAATTAAGCTTAAAGCATAATCAGTTTATTTGTTACATGAAAAGTATTAATTATTAAAAGTAAAACTTTTAAATATTGCCCAATTTTCTTAGTCATATTTGGCCACTTTTTCACTTCTTAATATAGATATTTTAAAAATTGGCCTGGGGCTTTTCTCAACCTCTGAACAAGCCCATTTGTAGTTAGACAGTAAAGCAGATCAAAGGAACAGCTAATGGGCCGAAGAACTGAGCCAGCCTATCTGCTAGGCTGCCCTCGAAGAGCAGCAACTCCCGTGAGACAGTGAAGAAACCCTGAGAGACCCTGGGGCAAGAGGAGGAAGCACTGCTCTGAACTACCTCACACCCTCCTCGCCGCTGCCCTAGGCTGCAGCGCCTGCCCCACACCTGGCCCGGGTGTCCAGTGAAGTAAAATCAGGGCCAAATGGAACCCCTAGGCTTACAAGAGGAGTGAAGGAAAATGGGTGAAGACCGCCTGCTCCTGGCATTGTTTTGCCAACCGTCCACCACCCAGCCCCAGGGCTGTGAATAACCCTGGAGGGAGAGTGTCTTCCTAAGGTAGCTGATTATACGGGGCGGGGAAAGGGGTGGAGTTCTGACCTGATGAGTTGTTTTGTGGGGAAGGGGAAAACATAAAACCAAGGAGAATATGAGACATAAAATATGTAACAGTGAAATAAAGAATGCAATCGAAGAAACAAATGGCAGAATAGAAACAGCCAGAAGACCAATTGGAGAGCTGGAATAATGGATTGTGGCAACCTCCTGCGAAGAAAGAAAGAAAAGACAAAGCAATGGAAACTATAGCAGAGCTAAGAAAAATGGAAGGTCCAAGTAAAAGAGCTAATAGCAAGTAATAGAAATGTCGGAGAAAAACATGAAAATAAAGAAGATCTCTCAATTTTTGTGTGGGTCTGCAGTTTCCAAGATAAAATGTTTTTCAAAGGTGATTAGAAGTATTTGAAGACACAATGAAAATAAATTTCCGGAAATTTAAAAAAAAAAAATGAAAGGCCTTAGACTGAAAGTGCCATAGGGTAGGGTGTCAAAGGGGAGAGAAGAAAAACGTCTCTTCTACTGCAATTTGAAGATGTCAACGCAAAAAGAAAACTCTAAATCTTATAGAAAGAATGAGCAACCAGTATTTTTAAAAAAGGACAAGAAAGATTGATATCTGATTTTTCAACAGTTACACTGGATATAAGACAATAGAGCAATGTTTTCAAGATATCCCCCAATATACCATTATCAAGTTAGGGTTTTCCCAAAATGCAAGCCCATAAATAGCGTTTACAACATTAATTAATTAAAAGGGAAATATCACATAACCCTTTTAATAAATGCAGAAAATTATTTGATAAAATTTAACATCAATCCATGATTTTTAAAAAACATCTAAAATATTTGTAATCAAAGACCACATTCTTAGCCTGATAAAGAGATGAAAATCCTGCAGCAAAAACTATCTTAACAGGAAAATGTTAGTGGATTGACAACACGATCCCTTAGGCCTCCTTTGGCATGAATACGCAAGGCTGCTCCAGAAAGCAGGGGAGATGATTTTGGAGCATGAGCCTCTTTGAGGAAAGCAGATTTGAAGGAGCCTCAGAATGGGGAGCTTTATATATGTAGGAGACAGCATGAGAGGATGGGGCAAAGGGGCTAAGTGGCAAGGAAACAGGGACACAGAGACAGATCTGAGAAGATGCCTGCTTCAAAATATTACCTAAGGTAAGTTCTGTCCCTTCTTGTGAGCTCCCTGTATCAGCCTGTTCTCACATTGCTAATATAAAGACATACCTGAGACTGGGTAATTTGTAAAGGAAAGAGGTTTAATTGACTCACAGTGCAGGAGAGAGGTCTCAGAAAACTTACAATCCTAGGGAAGGCGAAAAAGCAGCAAGGCACCTTCTTCACAAGGCGGCAGGAGGAAGTGCCCAGTAAAGGGGGAAAGACCCCTTATAAAACCATCAGATCTCCCGAGAACTCACCTACTGTCATGAGAACAGCATGGGGGAAACCACCCCCACAATTCAATTACCTCCATCTGGTCTCTCCTTTCACAACATGGAGATTATGGGGATTACAATTCAAGATTAGATTTGGGTGGGACACAAAGCCAAACCATATCACCTGTCTTCCCTCACATTCATTATCTGTGATAACAGGAGGCTCTGGGAAATGGTCAAAGAGGCTCTTGCCTGGAGAGTTTTCCCAAGGGGACTCAGGACCCTAGCAGGCTCACACCTAGGGACAGGAGCCTTGAAGGACTGAGCATGTACACCATATCGCAGAAACTTGGACGCTCAAACTTCAATCGCTAGGAACCCTAGAAAGACCTTCAAGTGCCAGCCTTGTTTTTGTCTTTTTTGTTCTCATTATCCTTCCATAGCTTAGGAAATCCAAGTGCAAAATTCAGAACTGTTGGAAAGAAGGTGGATTCCTTATATCTGGAATGGCATTTTGGGCTCTAACCTTGTAAAGTGATGACTGCTTTCCCCATGTAGCAGATGAGGTAGCA